GATAGATAGATAGATAGATAGATAGATAGATAGATAGATAGATAGATGTATGGATGGATGTACTTTATTGATGCCAAGATGGGAAATTATCTATTAAATTTAGAAAGGTTAGAAGGTTAAGAAAGGTCCAGAAAGAGCCAAAATAGGGATACTGTTATTGTCAAAATGTTAAAGGACTATGAGACCTGAATGTTTTTTTTAATAGTTTTTGTTTTTAATTGTGGTTTGTGGTCTGTGAATACATTTAAGAAATACTGAGATATTTTAATGCGGTCAGTTGTCTGATGGAACTGCATGACCTGTTGTTTTTTGTATAAAAGTTTTTTTTTAAATTCAGTAATGTTATTAACAAAGTTTATGTTTCATTTAATCAATTTTTCCTTACAAAGTCAAGCATGGGTTTATTTGGGCAACTAAATAGACTGTTAAACAGCTTGTTTTTTGACATTGCTCATGTTCTCCAGTTAAGGTACAGGCACATTTTGTATAACATTCTGTGAAAATGTTGGATATTCTGCTATCATTAAATAAACCAGTGGTCAGAGACACATTCGAGCAATTAGTCTCTTTCAAACTTGGCCATCAGCCGCACATGTGTAAGTCAGCGACAAAGCAGACAACCCAGCAGTTGGCAGTTGGGCAGCGAGGCGCTATAATCTCTGCACCTCCGGCCATCTGCCAGTACAGTACCGGGGTGTTGAAATCACATGTTTTAGTCGGCCTGCAGCACTTGCTCTCCATTTTGCAATCTTCCTAGATCAAATCAGCGCGCTTTGACCTAAAACTTTATGTGGGCCTTTGATGTGTAATCTTTTCCTTATGTGCCATATCAAATTCAAATATCATAGAGTTATCAGATATAAAAGATACAATCTCATTTGTGCTATGTAATCTCTAATAGCAGGAAAGCATTTTTAAAAATATCTTTTTTCAATATGAGAGAGTAACTAAGCTGTATGTTTATTTTTATCAAGCCAGAAAAGTGAACATTGATTGACTGGACAAGTGAATTACAGGATCTGAGAAAGATCAGTTTCCAAGTGTATCACAAAGGCTAGTGAGCTAATCTTGCTCAGCCACGGACGCAAATATTCTTCCATTTTGTAGTTGTTTGGAGATTTTTATAGATCGACTCCTAAAACAAGTTGCATGATAAATCCTCATATAATAGCATTTCATTTGGGTTTAATCTATTAAAATACAATAAGATAAGAGATACAGATATGTTTGAAATAAATATATTTGTACAAAGTAATGTATTCTATATTCGCATAAGAACTACGTTAAGTGTCCTATTTATCTCAAACACTTTCACAGCCTTTTGTTCCAGCTTCTTACATGTCAGCATTCTTCCACTTATCAAAAATTGCTTGCTTGCAAGAAGTTATTCAAGGGTTGAAAATCAATGGAGGAACGGATTAGCAAAGGGAAATATCTATTATCTCTGATGGGTAAATGGTAATCCGCACATGAAAGTGTTTGCTGTCTGGCCTAATGCTCTGTGACAGCCACATAATGGGTTCCCCCTGAGCGTCATCGCCCAAAACTTACAAGCCAATGTCATCTTTTGTCAAGTCCCGCTCGCTTTACATGGCTGCATTTTTTAGCCCAGCCGGCAGGGATTTGGGAGCTGAGCTGGTATCTGCTTCCAGAACAATGCTGTTATTTTACGTCCTTCTCCATCTCGCTCTGCGTTTCTCAAGAAGCAGTGAGACTTGACTGGTAGCTTCCCGCCTCACTTCCCCTCCCAAAAACCATGTGCAGTGTGCACAGACGGGGAGATAAAGCAAAACATGTGCACACACACACAGAGGCGCACTCTCACACACGGCACACACCGACATGGGACTAAATTCAATTTCACTACTTAATGAAACACATCTTATATGGCAATGCCAGATCTACTCTGGAAGAGGAAGGGAATACTTCTGAAATGTGTTTAATCAGTGGCTTTTGGAGCCTAGAGGATTGACCCTTTTGATGTTGAAGTGTGTGTGTCCAGGAAAAGGGTCAATTACCCATGGAAAGTATTTATACTCATGTCAGATCATTCTTATTAAAGTTCTCTCGTTGTCAGGGGCTGCCAAGTCTAGGGAAATCACAAATCAGAACATCAGAGGTCCGCCAGTGCAGTGGCCTTTTTCATCAGATTTGTCCAAATGCAGAGATGATTATGACCCATTAGCATTCTCGAGCAGACTTGACATTCCTTGACCGCAGTTTTTTTTTCTCCACTGAAACTTAAAGGGATACAATGGAATGAATTAGGAAAAGCCACGATCCTCGAATCAGTCTCTAATTTATTGAAAAAGCAACGTGGTCAATTATACTTGAAGGTCAGTGACACAAAGACTTAAAGTGACATGTTATCTGCCACACTTTTGTTTAGAAGTCATTCTGTAAGGAAAATAGCTGAAATGCTTTTGTTGCACTCTTGCTACGTGCATCTTATCGTTTGTGAGTAGTGTCATTCCCGGTTCTAATGTTTCATTAAGCACTGAGTTCACGCCACCACACACATTGTCCGGCTGTTGTTGTTTTTTTTCTCTTCCACCATCTGTGCACATCACACTTTTTTTGTGTCCACATAGAGTATGCAATGTGTGTTCTGGCTCTGTGCAGACAGAGGGTGTCAGGAACACAGTTTTACTAATTGGTTGACAGATTTGGCAGAACACCGACCAAACCAAATACTTCACACTCTCTCCATGCACAGTGCCAAAAAAATTCTCAGCACCTAATATCCAACGGACTACAAGATGGTGACTTGATGTTAAATATGTTTTTCTTGAAAAAAAAAGAAAAACTCCTAATGCATATTTCGATTCAGGGCCACGGGCTCAAACAACAATTTAGCAAACTACTTTGCAAAAGCAAGTTTGTCCAAACATTGGCCGCCCTATGTTTGATTTAGTGTCAGAACTAAAACCACTTAGCTAGAGATAAGAAAAAAGTTATGTTTTGGCTCAAAACAAGCCTGCCACAACCCTTCTAATGTGAGCACATTAGCACATGCTTGTTTGGCTAAATGATGGATTATTTCCCTTCAGCAATTTCCATTGGCCAGACACAAGAACTGGGTATATTTTTGGGTTCCTATGCAACTCAGAGAAGACATTATCACAAGATACCGTTACCATGAACAGGGGGAAAAAAACAAACATTTCCTGTTGAAATGGGTACGCATAAATCTATCCAGATATAAATTTAGATCTGTCCAAGGTGTACCCCACTTCTGCCATGCCAATGCCGCCAGTATAGGGCCTGGCACTCATTTGGTGATATTAGGAAACATAATGCGTAATGGAAAGTGGATGGATGGATGTAAAAATGTGTAACATAAGATTGTATGTAAAGCCGCTAATTTTGAGAATTTTCTTGTTTTAAATTTCCTGAACAAGTTTTAAAAGCTTGTTAAACTGGGCTGACGGTGCTTGCAAACTTGTAAATGATTTAAAAGAAAAAAAATAGTAACTGAGGGCAGATGTGGAACCAATGTGGAACTTAAATCTATAGCAAAGTTGAGGAGTCCTTTTATGAATCTTGATTATATGTCGAGTGTTTCGCAAAAGACACACAAGAGAAAATATCCCCATAACATTGCAAAGTCCCAGCAGCCATTCTGACCTGAAGACATTGTAAAAACAAAGAGCTGGGAAGTCAACATGTCCTAGTCAGTCCAGGGAAGACATTTGACTGCACTAAGGTCACATGACAGAATTCCACTCCACTTCAAATCTTTGAAAAATACCTCCCTTTTGCTGACGTTGTAGAAACATCTCACTCACTGGTGGATCTCAGTGTTTGTCTTCTTTGTTGCTCAGTTGAAATTGATCAAATCCCAGATGAAGCCCCGACACAGGGGATGAGCCTAAACAAACATAATCATTTGTAGACAAAAGGAGGTTGAAATCCAGTCCACAACTGCCATAAAGCAGGCCTATCATTTTCATTGCAGCCTGAACTCTGTAATAAAAATTCTTCTATCAGACAAATTGCTCATCCATGGTCTTGCACCTGATATAAATCAGATGGAAGAAAAATTCCACCTTCTCCTCTAATAAGCATCTTTCTCAACATCCATGCAAAGATCAAACATCCCTGTAACATTCTTGGATATATAGTTTGTCTGTGTGCCAACATGAAATTATAACCTGGCAGCAGAAGAAGAAAAAACCCAACTCCCCGCTGCTGATGATGCACATTTTGCACATTCAGACCTTTTTTTTTTGTCATGCACAGGATAAGCTTTTAAGATGATTCTCCGAGATAGCTATAATACCTTTTGAAGAACGCCCAGTGGAGGTCATTTGGACAGTTTGAAGCCTTTGTCTTGCTCTACGGTTCTGTGTCTTTCTAGAGAAAAGGATCCCTCCAACCTCATTGTGCGTGTGGAGCCATGCAGGGATAACGGCGTGTCAGGGAAGGGCCACGCAACAATGGCTGAAGATGAGAGAGGCGTAAAGGTGTGACGACAGGGCTGACAACACAAGGTTTTGCTTTGACTATGCCTTGCCTATCAAACAAAGTATCAGTGCAACACTCTCTGTGTGGCCTTAGCTCTTTCAAACGTGTTTGCGTTGGCCTCACGGTGGAAAATTGCCTTGAAAAGTATTTTATCACCAAAATAGATAAAAGCCCCGAAATAATGGTGTTTGAAGTGCATGTGCGTGTTATTTCTTGCTGCCATGGAAACCATTACCAAAACACACAAACCACAATTTGTGACTTTAACCAGTAAACACACAAATCAAAGTTAAGCAGGGCTAACTTGTGTGCCTGAAACTGTGACGTATGGCAGTACATTTAGGCAAAAATGATAAACACCAGCACTGTTTCTGTTCCCAGACAGGCCACCATAACACTCTACTTCTGGTCCACCAGTGGACAAAAGCATAAAGAGATAGAATGATGTTATAAATGAATATGCAAAGGTTAATACTGAA